AGGGTCATTCAGAAAGTTTTTAGATTTTTGCTTTAACTTTTTTATTTAACGTCATATTATGACCAATTTAAGTACATCTATTTTAATAATCATCGAAATTCTCAAAATTTAAGGCAGTAAAAATGGGGTCACAGAGCAAGGTAAATATTTAGCTATTTACTTATTATACACTTATTATGTTTAAAAGTATACCTCTAATAAATGGCTATTAAACGGAATAAAATTTAAGTGTTTAAATTTAGTATCATTCTATTACTTCGGATTGTAAAAAATTAATGTAATATATTGTTCTGTATAAAAGATATCAATTTATAAACAAAAATAGATATCATATCAAATGAGCAATGCAACTGTATATAATGGGAAAAAACTATTTTTTTTTAGTTTAAGAAACTTTGAATCGGATGATGGATGGTCGGCAAAGACCAGGTAACAGTAAAAAAAAATCTTGTCAAAAGAGTGAGTAACGTCGAAAAACATGATAGGCAATAAACTTTTTTGGAACTTGAGAAAGCAAAGTTTCGCGGTAAAGAATCGAAAACATTAACAATCCAACTTTTTTTAAAAAGCCATTTAAACAATTGTTGGCAAACTAGATGTCAAGTGTTATGGATACGATTTAATGCATGGGGAATATTCTACAAACCGTGTATGAAATGAAAAGGCAGAGTATATATGAGAAACTTTCTTGGCGTTGTTTTTGACGTCACATTGTTGTTAACCGTGCTCCAAGGTGACAAAACATGCTGCTTTTAAAATTGTCTAACATGAGTTTCATTTATTCATATGGAATGAAGCTTTACACACTGACAAAATAAATGATTTAAATATGAATATGTGTTGAATTTAAATTTTGTTAGAATAATATGATGATTGAGGACATTGTCCACATATTTTTTTGAATGACCTTTGTAATCTTTTTCGACTTGATCATATTCGATATTATATATGTACACCTACTGCTATGGGGCACGAAAATCTTTCAATTGAAGTAAACATTGGCATTTTTGCCGCTGTTCAACAATTTGAAAATGAATCTAGTAGATTTAGCTAGATACATTATTGACTCTTATTTGTTGCACGACAATTATTATGTGTTTTTTTTAAAAGAGAAGAGCTATTAAGCTGTTAGAACTTGTTTTTATCCTTTTGCTTGTCAATAAAATATGTTCAAAACTATGTCAAGGAGTAATGAAGTCCGAACTATTTTGGTTTAATTTCACCTTAATTTGAATTTCACTTGAAGGGAAATAAGCATTGATTTTAAAATAAAAACTACTGGGTATTTGATTCAAATTAAAAACTAAAGGTACTGTGGGAAATGAGCTCACTAAATTATACCTCCACCTTCTCCCATATGAACATAATGGCAGTGTTTTGCAATGGGAAACACAAAATATGTGTCGGGTCAAAAAGCAAAATAAGAGATTCATAATGACATTTTGTAATAAAGATTTTCCGAAAGTCTCATCAAATTTCATTCTGTGGTATAAGAGGAGTTGCAGATTAGAGAAGGGTACCCCAAAACAGACGGACGGAAAGACGGTCATATCATTTGCCATATACCCTCACACTTTTCAAGCGGGGGTATAATAAAATTACCTTTGTTTCATAGTTATGTTTACCTGCCAAAGATCGATAGATTTCCTGCTCGTATCATTTTTACTTTGAACTTTGAGTCATTATATTGAATAAAGTCTCCTTAATTAAACGAACATTGTCAACATTGTCAATTGCTATCAAAATTAGTACATGTACAAACGGAGTAATTTCAAACTTACTTCAATATATTCACAACATTGACAGTAGACAAAATGCTCAAATGAATGTTATTGTCGATTTCATAATTGCTTGTAGCATAGCTGATTTAATTCTTAAAACTTATAGAACAATAGGTTTAATTTTTAAAACTTTTTAGAACATCTCTTAAAGTCTAGTTTGTTTTTTTAAAATGCATTACCTTAAGTAAAAGTGGTATATATATGTATACACATTCCATGTTTCCTGGACTTAAATTCTTTTATCTCTAGTAAAACGCAATGCATATTCATGCATGAATATTTGTTTAGAAATGCAATGGTGGCATTACATTTTTCGTTATAAATTAGTAATGCTTTTGTCATGAGTATGAAATCAATAAACGTACCTGGTTCTGACATCAACACAGTATTGAGTGGTGGTTATAAATTGCGTCTTTCTTTTCTAAATATGCGTCTAATACTAAGCTCAGTGAACCGAAACGAGTTTAAACTGCACGGTGTGACATTTAAAAATATTTCAGCAGATCAACATACGAAGGAAAATATTAAAGTTGAGTTTTTCTTGCCACGAAAAATATCATTCATGTAATAAAATAATAGTCGCAACATGCATTAAAATCTTTTGCGTTTGGTCATCAAAGAAAATGGGTACATTAGTACACTAAATATAATATCGACGATATACGCTATGTCTAGAGTTTTTTTCTTGCAATTTTGTGATAAATATACACTAGAAAAAAAAATTTCCCACACCATTTTTAATTCTTTTTGTGAATTGAACATTTGCCTAATCGGTATAAGTATATATGATTAAAACAGTCATATTTCCTAATACTACAAACTTGAAAAATGCATGTCTTTGTGTCCCGACAAAACCCCACAAAATTACCTTCTTCCCTGAAAATATTTCCCGAGATGCATTGCGTGTCATTTTTCCAAATATATACAGTTGCAAGTTACCGGTGGTGGTTCTTGTGGTTACACCAGAAGCAATCTCCCTGTTAAAAATCAAATTAAATACAACGTGACTATGGTAGAGCCAGCTAGCCATCCAGTGCCGTTGTGTTCTTTACCCAACTTTCGGTTGCCCCAATTTTGTGGAATAATATAAAAATTGTGGAGTGTGCTTACTTAAGGGATTGGCTATCTATAATAAACATTTTATGTTTACTAATCTATTTGCAACAAATTTCATTAGAAGAAAAAAATATTTTTTAGATAATCTTCCTAAAAGAAGTTTATCCTTCCAAAAAGGTATGGACACGATTTTCATTTTTTCTATGAAATGATTAATGTTTCAGATAAAATTGTAGTTTGGCAATTTAATAACGCATCCATTTAGAAATGAAACATTACTTTCAGGTAGTGGTGCGTTAGCAATTTTGTCAAGTGTAGGGTAGAGCTTTTAACAGAAGCCTGGAAGCACTTGGGCTGCTCTACCGAAATGTGTGACCTCTGTGAGACTGATCTGGGACCACTTGAAATAAACTGGGACTCTCCTGATAGGAATCCCTTGGACGGGAATGTTCACCTATGCGAAAAAATATTCTGAGTGTCAAAATATAAAACAATTACTAAAAAGGAGAAAACACAGACCCCCAAAACATAAGAGGTACGAACAGGTTCTATGGAGGAGTAAGCATCCTTAGAGGACAGGTCATATCCACCGTGTGTTCCTTGTCATGATAGAAAAATAACAAGAAAATCCGTCGTCAATTCAGTGAATAGATAATGGATTAACAAGTATAAAAAACCTCAGTCAGCATTTTACGCAATGCTAAATTGTATTTGCTGATAATGACATTGTAATGGCCACAGAAATTAGGAAATGATGACTTTTAAACGAAATTGATGATATCCCTGATTCATCATCTTGTTTGTATATTATTTACCTCGTTTTAGAAATTGTACATACGTAAAACATGCTCTTGCGTATCGAATCAACTAATATATATAAACTCTGTATGCATGTGATGAAGGTATATAGCTGTATTAGTAACGGAAGATGACGATTGCAATAAAAGTCATTACTGTGTATCATAGAGGTTGGTTGTGAAATTGCAATGAACGTCTTTTTGTAAAGTAAAATATCCAAAATTGAAACAGATATGTCAGACTCTGTGGTACATGTATCTTTTATCCCATGCTTACCAGAATATTTCATATCTACATTATAATTGAAATAAGCATTGTTAATTGACAATACGTCGTCGATATATCTAAGTGTCGAACTGAAGGCCAGAGAAAGTGTTTTCTTCATTACATGCATAAGATTCTGCTTCATATGAATACAAAATTAGGTCTGCTAATAACGGGGCGTAATTAGTACACATCGGATTGCCAATAAATTGTTGGGAGACCTATTTTTCAAAACAATATAGATATTGTAAATCAGAAACTGAAGCATTTTTTTTGTCAACTTCAGAGTACCAATGTGTACACACAGAAGACATCAATTATCAATAGAATAATTTTCTTTTAGAAAACATAAAGCGCATCCATCATCCACAAAAAATTGGGATATTTGATTTTTCAAAACATTTTACACAAAATGTATCTCACAAAGTTAATGGCAGATGAGAACACTAATCTTTAAAGAATACCACCACAAGATCAGTCAATTTGAGGCTAATATGCGTCAAACGTAGAAGTGTACCAAATCAATGACGTTATATTTCTGGTACGGCACATCGTCCTTCTTCGTTATCATGATCAGAACAAATATTCTTAGCTTTAATGAAAACTATATTTGCAGTGTGTTCACGTGTCGAAAAATACACTGGGAGTAAATTTACACATATGTAAATGCAAATTTGCGCAAAGTCTGAGTAGATGTCAATTTACACCCGGTTGTTTTTTTTTTTATTTGTGCATATAATTGTTTTTTACTTGCGTTTGAATAAAAGTAATTGTGTTCAAAAGTTTTTTTTATTTACATCCGGTAGCAGATTTTGTATACTGCACACCTTGTTTAACAATCTTCTATTTTACTTCTTTATAATGCCTTTATGACCCTTATATGAATGACTTGCCATAATATGGCTTTTCTGTGAATGTTATGGATTACAATGAAATTAATTTACATACATACAAGTAAAACATTTTATTCTGATTGAAAAAGGATTAATGCTGCGTTTTTGACTACTTCATGAAATATCCTCTAGCCATGTCTGTGCTGGATGATTTAAAACAAATGCACATTAGATATTTTTTCCCTAAATTTAAACATTGTCATGTGATCGTCTCTTCTTGTTTATACAGCAAGGTTAGTTCTTCGAGCACCAGCAGTTTATTCTTTAACCACTACCATCATCAGATATACAAGTCCATGGTATACATGTTCCAGATAGATTTTCAAATATAAAATAAATGCTAGTATATGTTCCAAATGCCACATGTAGTAGAACTCAGTGGGGTGATGTTATTGTTAAATCATTGCTCCTAAATAAAACAAAAAAAAATATATTTACAGCAAGTACAGGATATCTGCTAACTAAATTTGGATTATTTAACATAAATGTGAATAAAATTCGTATGTTTTTTTCTTAAGAACTAGAAAAGGAAATTAGAAGGTTACAAATGTCGGAAAAGTTTGATTAATACAGATGCACAATAATTTAAATGTACCTTAATTCAGTTTGTCGTGTATCTTGCAAAACACTTTTCTGAATAAGAAACATGACAACAAGTCCTACCACAACACCGACGATGGAACTAGAAATACCAGCTCCCAGTGCAACTTCAAGTAGGTTATCATCTAAATAAACAAAGGATTTTTTTAAAAAAAACTGGAAAACGCACTTTTATTTTTAACTCATGTTTTTAAACAAAGATCATGGGATTCCCTGAATTTCAAATATACGGGGGCTGCTATTATCAAAAAAATTATTGAGACATTTTGTGTGATCTTTTTTCTAATGAACTTCTTTCATTGAAAATTAGCATGAACCTTTGATAAACACTAAAAATTCATAAAAATATTTCTTATTGATAATAGTATACTGAGATGTCGATAGTAAGGAAACCCAGAACAGTCATTAAATCAAACATTGAAAATATATATCGTAACAGATATATTGAAAATCCTGACTGTCCCATAGTAATGGCGAAAATAATCCGTTTTAGGAATGAAATCTTTCAAAATGATTTTGCTTTCATTTTGTGAAAGATTATTAGAATTTTTTTTCAGAAATGCAGACGTTTTGAAGGATTTTAATGCGAAAAAAGTATAAATCTGAGAACGACGACAAAATAGTATTTATTTGAATCTCATACCAGAGATTGTTTGATACCAAAGAAAAAGTAAACACTTCCTGGTCGTTTTAGTTGCAAAATATCTCCGTCGAGCTGACGTTAAAATGACACATTTATGCAGCTCCAGGTCGATAGACACATACATGTTTATAATTTACCCGAACTTGTACTTATTACCGCATAAACTAGAAATTTGCACATTGGTTTCATTCGTTCATCATAAAAAGCTAACGATTTATCATGAATTTTCTCTGTCCTGTATGGAAGAAAACTAAATGTCCTAATAATTTCTTAAGAACCCTCATATATGAATAAGGGCTATAATTGTGATCATTACTAAATTGAATTATAATATAATTACAAACTTTACTATAAAATAATTTATGTATATAGTTATTTGTTTGTGAATGGTCCTCCTGCATAAATCTATTAGAGTTTCCTTTTGAATCTTTAAGGCATTGCAGCTTTTGTCTTTAATACGTGTCATGTGTCTTTTAATTGTCTTTATCCGACTTACTACCAACTTATTATTACCAATAATGAACACACTGTAATATTTATACCTTGATCGAATAGCCATTGCTTTACAACATATTAACAGTGTTCTAAAAATTTTGTCTGAAGATAGTATTATTTTACATTTACATGTATGTTATTTAAAAGAAAGGACGTTTTTTTAAGGACTAACCTTGATAACAAGTTTTTCTTTCCACGTTGTATACGTAATCAGATCTACAGGAGCATGTCTGGTTTTTTGAACACACTCCTCCTGGAAAAATGCATTGTTCGCTAAATAGGCATTGGTCCCCATAAAAAGCACCGTTTTCAAGCATATCGTCTAAAAATAATGACAAGAAGACACATATAAAATAAAGATTATATCAGCTTTCATTATATCATTTCTCTTCTTCCAATCTTTAATTTAAGGATAATAGCAGATATCCTCAAGACGCTATACCCCCATACCTCCTAAATATCCTCACACATTTTTTAACTGAATCATAAAGGGTAATTCAATTGAAATAAAGAGATTGTCCGGGAGACTTTTCTTATGCTTGAAAATCAATATATACGAATCGTCTGCGTGGTGCAGATATTATTCATGAGTGTCTATTTAAAGGGTAGAGTCGTAAAATTGATCCTTACGTCACCGGTTCAAATCCCACTATGAGACATGGAGACGGGTTCTTTGGATGAAACCCGATAAACTGAGGTCCCATGTCGCAGTACGTGCTGGCAGGAAAAAAGGTTCACTCCCTGTTCAATGGTCATTAATGCCAAGTATAAGACAAAATTTGCAGGTTTCGACCGTCAAGTAGTCGCATTCATTGAGTAAAAATAATTCTCAAAAGAAGGATATGGAGATAAGGGACAGTATTCAATCACAAAGACCATAAAGCAATGCAAAAGAGGTGGCCACGGAGGAGTAAGCATCCCCTGCTGACCGGTCACACCCGCCGTGTGCTCCTTGTCATGATCAGGAAATAACGGAAAAAATCCGTCGTCAATTCAGTGTATAAATAATGGACAAACAATTAGTATGAAAAACGTCAGTCAGCATTTGACTCAATAATACATTGTATATGCTGACAAGGTCATTGTATTGACCATAGAACTTAGAGAAATGATGACTTTAAACGAGACGGCTGATATACTTGCTTCATCGACTTGCTTGTCAATAATTTACCTCGTTTTAGAAATTATTCATATATACGTAGAGCAAGCTCCTGTGTATCCGATCTACTCATATATATATATATATATATATATATATATATATATATATATATATATATATATATATATATATATATATATATATATATATATATTAGAAAAAAATGACAAGGCAACAATGTTAGTAAAACATAAGCGCTTTCTTCATTATTTCTTCAGACGTTTTACATTTCAAAACAATTCAAAAATGTGACGTCACATTTTTGAAATGTTTTGAAATGTAAAACGTCTGAAGAAATAATGAAGAAAGCGCTTCCGTTTTACTACCATTGTTGCCTTGTCATTGTTTTCTAATATTATTTACCGGACACTGTGCCAATTCTTTTCATTTTGGATATATATATATATATATATATATATATATATATATATATATATATATATATATATATATATATATATATATATATATATATATATATATACTCCGTATGCAGATGATGAAGGTATATTGCTGCATCACGTTTATCATAGAGCTTGGTTGTAAGATAACCATTAACGTCTTTTTCAAGTGAAATGTTCAAATATGAAACAGATGTGTCAGACTTTGTTGTATTCTTTATCTCAGGCTCACTATGATATATCGTTTCGACAAAGGAATTGAAACTACCATTGTTAATTGATAATGCGTCGTCAATATATCTAAATGTCGAGTTGAAGGCCACAGCAAGTGTTTTTTTTTTCATTTTATGCATAAGATTTTATACAAATTCTGCTTCATATGAATATAAAAATAGGTCTGCTTATAACGGAGCGCCTTTCGTACCCATGTGAATTCCAATAAATTGTTGGAATACCTGGTCTCCAAGAGACGTTAAACAACACAGAATCAATCAATCAATGTTTAATATGGAGTATGCAATTGAAATATTATTTACATACCACGCACACATTGATCCTGGAATCGAGTATGGCTATCTTCACATGAGCATTCGTTCATTGAACATTTCGAGTTGTAGCATTGTTCATCTGAATTGCATTTTTCTCCAATACTAAAATTCCTCTTCTCTACAATTTAGTTGCAGAAAAATCTTGTGATAGTATCTGCTTACTATGTCAATTTTTTTTTATTGGGTGCATTCTTCATATAAACATGGAAGTTTTTTTTAGTTAAATTAATGTGAAAAAGTTTTATATTGTTTTAAAGTATTTTCAGGGAAATACAAGATCCATTTTTCATATATAATAATGCACACTAAGGGCAAAGTGTTAAAGATGATCTTTGATTCATAACATATTTATTACAACTATCATATTTCAATCGCTGTCTTTTTTCATTTTTTGTGAAACTATTGAAGGTCCCTTAAAACTAAATCTTAGATAATGGTTTCAACTTTCGACTGAGTCACTTTATGCAATTTTAAAACACGTAGAGATTAATGAATATAAATAAGAGAGGAAAATGAAATTCTAATGCAATTGTTTTGTAAAACACTTTTTCATTGGCTAATGCACTGATGTTTGAAGCAGTAAAATGAGCATTAACGAGCGTGAAAGCTTTTTCATTGTGACGTCATAATAGAGCGACGCAAAAACACAATGCTCCGTGACGTATTTCATGTAACAAAATTCATCAAAATAAGACATAAACAACAAACAAAATGCATGGATTGCATTAGAATGGGAATAACTGATCTTCTAATTTTGTATTTGCGACCGTTAATGCTGATTTAACGGTCGCAAACATCCGTTTTACCGGCTCCGCTTACGCGTCGCCGATAAAACTCAGTTTGCGACCGTTAAATCAGCATTAACGGTCGCAAATACCAAATTAGGAGATAGTTATTCCCTAATAGCAAAAATATATAAAATATATAAACTTAGAATTTTCTCCAATGTAACGATTGGATTAGAACGAGTATCTATATATAACACATTACAAGACAGTCGTGAACAGCATCGATCAACTGAGCTCATTTGCTAGGAAAAAAGCAAAATCAATTAGTAATGAACAGTTAACATAGGTGGATGTTTGAAAGTTTAATTACCTAAGGATGCTTCGATATTTACATAACAAGTGTCTGTGCTGTTGTTTAGCATTTTAAAGTATTTGTCTCTGTATTTTACTTATGTAAAACTTTGATTACCAATCTTGGCTCCGTACTGCCCCAGGGGGTTCACTACTTCAAAATACTTTCATATCAATTAGGGAATAACTATCTTCTTATTTAGTATTTGCGACCGTTAATGCTGATTTAACGGTTGCAAACTGAGTTTTACCGGCGACGCGTAAGCGGAGCCGGCAAAACGGATGTTTGCGACCGTTAAAACAGCATTAACGGTCGCAAATACCAAATTAGAAGATTAGTTATTCCCATTCTAATGTAATCCATGCATTTTGTTTGCTGTTTACGTCTTATTTTTTTATGAATTTTGTTACATGAAATACGTCATGGATCATTGTGCTTTTGCGTCGCTCTATTATGACGTCACAATGAAAAAGCTTTCACGCTCGTTAATGCTCGTTTTACTGCTTCAAACATCAGTGCATTAGCCAATGAAAGAGTTTTACAAAACAATTGCATTAGAATATGACTTATAATGGTTTTGCTGCTGCTATTGAAAAAAAGGGTGATTCCTACATTTTTATATAATCCCAAATACAACTTTGATCCACACAGTGACCCTATCCTAACCCCAGGGGTTATATTTTGAACATAATTGAATTAACATTATCTGAGGATGCTTCAATTCCAATATGACTAATATAAATTATGCAGTTCTTGAAAAGATTTCTACTTTTCCCTAAAATCTACTACATTGTATGCAAACCTTTGTTCCCCAATTTTGACACAACCTTACGACTAGGGGTCATTATTTTAAGAAATATGAATTTACGGTCAAAAGATCTAGTAAATAACTTGAGACTTCTTTTCGGTGCCGGATCCATTCTGACGTCATAGTCAATTTCAACTTTCTTATTCCCGTACTTTACGGCTTTAGCAGAATTATGTATAAAATAGGGTATTTTCATGACATTAAATTTGAAATCATATGAAAAGTAAACCGGATACCTATATCAAATACATATTGATTTTAAAATGATGACTTGAGCGTACTTATTACCGTTTTATGAGAGACTGTAGGCAATCTGGATATATTTCCTTTGTCGAATATGAGAAGACCTCCCATATTCATGACTGGTTTTCTTAATTTTTCATTGAAAATGACAGTTTAAAATACAGTTTTTAATTTTGTTTTCTACAAATTATGCCCCGAAACACCTTATTTGACCAAGCTAATGTTGTAAAGCACCAATAAAGGAATTTATTTCTCAAGTTTGATAAATCTGTGGACACCTTTCATATACTAGATCTTGACCTTAAACTAACTGCGGGTGCTTCCATATCGAAATGACCAATTATGCATTATGTTGGTGTTCTTAAGAAGATACTTATTTTTTTTTTCTATAATTTTTGTTTGTAGATCTTTGATCCCGTATTGTGGCCCTTCCCAAGAAAATATCAATCTAATGAATTTAAACTTTAAGTGGACTCTTTCGTGTCAAAATGAATACTCATAACTTAAATCAGCTTAAGATATATGAGACACTTTATGGTTTAGATGTAGATTTATAAAGGATTTATTAGTAGGTAATAAAAAAATTAATATCATTTTTAAGCATCAGTTTGTACTCTGCATCATAAAATGGTCCACTACTTTTTAAGCTGCAAATTCCTATCTTAATCCCAAATTAGATATAAATCACAATGAGGAATCATAATTGCATTTTCTTAAAATTTTCGGTATTTGTTATTCATTGAAAACCTGACGTGCAATTAATGGATTCATTTAAAGAATGCTCATTGTTATCGAGTTTTACTGTATACAAAAGAATCAAATACCTACTGTAGATTCTATAATCGCAGTACCCTCTTAAATCAACAGTAATATAATAAGGGTTCCTTTGACAATAGAATCTTTTTGAGATATAAAAGTATCCATCTTTTCTCTCACTCGGGTATGGTGCTGGGTACCATTCATTATAACCTTTCAATAACGCTGCTCGAACATCGGCTGTTATTTTACAAGCTATCATGCACTTTGTTCCATCTGGAAAGGAAAAATATAAACTTTAGAAATGAATATATTTACGTATCTTGTACAACAGCATTGACGAAAAAAATTTCATTAAAACCAAGAAAAACATTCCATATGACTATTCCCCAAAGTCCCTAGGATCTGTGTGCGTATTTTCTCATTAGAAATTGTCATTGATAGCCATTGAGATTATGCTTTCAAAATTCTTAGGTTCTCTGAAAACCTGACAGTATTATGAAATCAATATCTTCCAACAAAACTATTAACAAAAAAAAAAAAAAACGCGGTACCATGCTTTGAACAAAATTGAGTATACACTGACAATGATTCCACATGAAATTCATTTTTCCTAGCCAATTGATTCTTAAGAAGAGCATTGTTTCAAAGATGTCATCAATTTTTCGCTATTTTGGGATTCTCTCCACTTGTAGTAGCGAAAAGACCTTCATTTGAACAAACTTGAATTACTTTCACTATTGAAATAGGCACACTATTTCTTTAGAAGAAGATGAAAATGTGAAAAATTTACGCCAACAACAACGACATCAAAAAATGGACAAATTTGTATGTGGTCTTCGGCTTAGGTAAGCTAGAAAACTTTATTTGATTTTTGAATATTACATATACATTGCTTAAAACATGTTTATTGTACAATAATAACTTGAAATTAATTAACAAACCCTGAGTCGCATTAGGCAATACAATGTAATGGTGATCACTGGAAATCATACTGCAGGTAGATCTATTCAGGTAGTGGATAAGAACCAATGTATCTTCAGCGCACAATCTGAGAAATTGTAATGGATTTTAATTGACACAAAAAGCGATAAAATGAATATTTAGATATATTGGTGGACAACGGAATGTAGCATTCTAAAAACAACAATTATTTTATACGAGTAAAGGAATTACTAAGAAGGTAAGAGGCTATTAAAGTAAACGGAAATTATTGGTACGATTGACGGCTATTATTTAAAGAAAACAATGAATTAGAAAAAAAAACATTCATTAGTCGGAATTTTTTAGATATTAGGATGCTTATCTTAATATAGATTTAAAAAACGATTTATTTTTATTAATTTTAAGAAAACTTAATGTTAAAAAAAGTTCAACTAATGTCATTGGCTAGTTAGGGGTTTATTTACTGTTTTTTGTAAATCAGTCATAGTGATCATTAGATAAAAATCATTAAGATAAAACTATTGTGTGAAATGTACGTAATTCGTGAATTTATTCCTAACTGATATAAAAAAAACATATAATACATTAATTTATATTATATTCATATAGTTTCTGAAAATCAATGTGTCAAGACAGGTTTATAAAATTGTGAAACTTAAATAATTAACAGAAGACTTGGAGTTCAAAGGTTATGTGTCATCATGCAAAGGGTTTTGGCCCTTGATACTGATTTTGATTTTCAAGATCACATTCAAATTACTTTCACATCTACAGGTAAAACATTGTTATTGTCAGAAATCACTGCTAGTGTTTACGTCTTAGCTTTAACGAGAAAGTATAATTCTAATCACTTAACTTACTACGACCGGATATATTCTATTTGATTCTAAAATTATAAAATATATAGTGACCCCCTTTTTCAATTGCACATTATGTTACAATTGCAATATGGCGTTAGGGATTAGATTGTGCCTTATTTTTCCCAAGATGTGAAATACTCTATATTAAAGTCAACTTTTAATTCTTGACCCCCGTTTTTCTACTTTATTTGACCTCTTTCTTCTTTTCCTTTAATAAAAGATATATTTTACTAGTACGTGGTGTTGATTGTTTTTGCCTGCTTTAGAAACAAGCTCAGTTGTTTGGCAGGATAATAAAATGCTTGTTTGTAGGAATGTGCTGTTTGAATACAACTAGTACTAATTTTAAATCTTTTTATACCTATGGGTCTAATGAACGTGATTACGCAGCACTGTTAAGGCTTATTTTAAAGAAATCAATGCAATAGAGATTTGCAGGAAAGGAATTTTTTTTAAACTGATTTTGTATTTAGCCGTTTTCTGAATACAGAACTTAAATATTGATTAAAATAATATAATATACTCCATCCGTACTGAATTAAGTTTGGCCCCATCAATGGACAGTAACGTGATAAATGATTCGTTTGTGTACTGCATGTAAGTCATAAACGAATTTCAATATCGAAAGGGCATACCCTAGTTGAAATTAAAAGTTTAAGATACATGTACCAATTGTTTCGGCATACTTTATTTTCTAGAAAGTGCTGCTGCTTTATAAAAAATTTGCGTTTTATTAGTTAAAATTTCAAGTAAATCATGCTCATCTCGAAATATGTATGATCTTTACTAAGTATTGTATGGTTTTATTAAGTCACACTCCCGATTTAGAGAATGCATCAGCTTTTCAAGTTAAAGAACATTTCCTTTATTTATATTTTAAGTGTATGCCCTTGCAAAAAGGCGATTTGATAATCCATTTCGATGATGAACATGCCAAACCTGCACACATACATGTAAACGCAGTAAAATCAATTAAATAAAATCTCACACTTATCATTGAAAAATCGAACTAAACAGAAGTTTTACATTGATAGCCTATCTAAAATCTTTAAAAATCAATACGTTATCTTCTGTTTAATTATGAAATGCATTTTCACTATAAAAAATATACGTGATTTGCCTTTCGAAGTACATGAAATACGTTATTTTTACCACCATGTCAACAAGTTTTGTACCACCATGTCGACAAGTTCACTGCGATCAGTGGTTTATTTATCAACAGTTGTCTGGTATTTAGCTAGCAACTATTTTTAATGCATTGATAAATTTTTATGTTGTTTACATGTATTATGCTTCTACAGTTTGAAATTGCATAGTATTTGTTTTTTCTTGTATTATGAGGAATACAAAATGTACCAATATTTGATAGATGTCACAGTAAACATTTCCCTATAAATAAGGCCCGCCCCCTTTTTCAAGCCTTAATAACAGTGCTGCAAATTCACTTTTGTGCAAAATCGAAACTTAGATCAAGAGCAGTATGACACATGTTTGATATTTAGAACGCATGTATGTCAAAAATAAGAATATCATTTCTTAGGCCCCAGTTGATCCCACCTTTGATATATCGGAGGTTCGTGCTGTCTCTGCTCCTATTTTGTTTTGTTTTATAGACTTTTGTATTGAATACTGTTCGTTTTCTCCATATCATTCAAAAGGAATGAGTTAAAACTACCAATGGAAAATCTTTTTAATGTTTTGTTTTAAAACAGAAGACATCTGATTAGTACTCTTTTGTAATTAAAGAATGAAATTGTACTTACTTCACTGGTATTTTCTCAAAAGTCCTAGCAGATAAATTAACTTGAAAGAGGCATATACACAAAAGACTGCAAATGGCAAAAACTGAAATAAATACGTTTTACATGTATTCTTTTCACATATCTTTTTCAGGTTATATATTTAACATATTTTGCACTAGCTTTAATCTGTTTTTGTTTTTTGTTTTTTTTATAAAATTGCATATATAAAATGCTAAATATTTAAAAGCATATAAAAAAATTTATCAACGAAATTCAAATGCATTTTACGTAGTCTATTTTAACATAAGGTCTCTTTTGATCATTTAAGCTGAAACAATGTTTACCCAATATTAAAAAATAAAGTTACCAAATATGAAAAACTTCGAAGCAGACATTTCCTGTACTATTTTGTTATCGTTTAGACCATCTGGCTTTCTCGGCATTTCTGAAGCAAAGAATGTAAATTTTACACTTTACTATAACGTTTCTAATTGCAATTAATAAAATCTATTTTAATAAAGCTTTTGCACGTTTAGTAAGTAAATAAGAAAAAAAACCTTACAAGCCCAAGCAGAAATACACTTGAATCATTAAAATCTCGCACTTAAATCCTTGACTCACTGAAAATGAATTTAAACTTTATGAAATCTCAATATCCAAATACTCAGCCAAATCGTACGGTGTTTTCTATCATTTACAAACTATTCAATCTGTTTAAATACTGTGTAAACACATCGTGATCAGTGTCTAAACATGTAATCATTTCAATTACAATACATTACGAAAATTCGACAACAAACATATCGATACATCGCAGTTTTAACATTTAGATATCATCACTACGTGTTTTATAGAAATATTGTACTTACATGTACCCCTTTCATTCTTTAAAATAGAAGGTCTTCCTAACTGCGTATTTGTTCTGTATATTCGGGTCAGATACAAAACCAAGTGAACCGGAACCGTGTTTTTTAAAAGGTCTGCATTTCTGCATGTCAATAAGAATATTGATTTCTAAAAGCATTATGTGCATAAAAATGACTGTCTATGCATAAGATAAGGTAGAAAAATCACGCATTTGTTCTGAAGTCCATCAACAAATATTCATTTACTAAATACTGGCTGAAAGTATTGATGGTAGTACATATATGATAAGGTTTTAAGACCTTTAATGAACGATTTCTGTATCTCGGTTCCGAATCCCCGACCGATTATTGTAAGAACATTATCACGCAACTAACTATGACTAAATGTATATATCAATCTAAATTCTTTTTTAAAATTCATATGACATAGACGAAAATCATGAGTCTAGAAATTCAATTTGAATGAAAAATATGTTGACTGTTTGTTGTAAATTACTGAGTACACTACACATAATACTTAATTTTTTTTAAGTGTTCCTGATTTCTTCGACAATTTCAATTCGCAATATTGATAAAAATGATCATAAAACAAGCCCTTAGGAATACAAGTGTATTTCTCCTACAGGATTTTTTTCAATGTAGTATTTCATATTAATCCTAATTCTATCAATTTTTAAATCAACTATTTTCTCTTCATTTATGCGTACATGTGTCAAAACCGTACACATACGCGGATCTAGAAGGGCACATGTACATGTCTTAGAGCAAACTCTTAAAAAAAAATTTCCTACAGGATTTTTTTTCGTGTACTATTTTATAAAAGTCTTCATTATGTTATCAAATTAATTGTTTCCTCCCTTCCTTCATGTGTACAGTTGTTAATTCTTTATATGTATAAAGAACAAAAGTCAGAAAGTAGCATATGTGACCTTTAATTTTTCTTAAAAAATAAATAATCGTTTTTTTTATAAAACTATTTGTGGTTTCCCTATCTACTCGACTTCGTCAATGCAAACCGTACGTAAGTTTTTTCATCGAAACGACTGAAACTTATAAAGGTTTTGAGTTTTCCGGAATTTTTCACCAATTTTGCTGATATATTTTTAAATTTACAGTGGGGTGCATTCCTCTAGGAAAAAAATGTCGGAACACTTCTAATATACCGGTCCCCATAAATATGGCGCTAAAATAGGTGCCGCCGAAGGCGGTGTACAGTATATAGATGATCGCGTGAGCGATCGACAAAATCGAAAAAGAAGCCACAAATTGCAAATTTGACCCCAAATTCGTGTTCCTTGTGAAAAATTGGGTTTAAAAAACTGGTTTTTAAACACAGTTTTTTAAATGAGAATTAAAAGATTTCGTAAAATAACGTACTTGTTTAGGAAGTAAATCTCCATCTTGCGTTGTTTAGGAATGTAGTCACATGATCAATTTTTGACGTAATCTCATAAATATTCATGAGATGCGTCACTTGTGTTTTGACGTAATGAAGAAATGCCTGATAGGACTCAAAGTGCAATGCTATTAAAATTGTGTGATTTTTGTGAGAAATACAGGGATTTAACAAATTTTAGCTAATTACTAGTCATCGATGGATTGAATTGTGCATCATTATCGATTTAAAAGGAAAAATATTCTGAATATTTGGACATGATTAGGAGGTCAGGATATCGAGCTGCAGTTAACGGTAAGTCGCTTTTACAATAACTTGCCTAAACTCAGCACTGAAAATCGTCATGTTTCGACAATAGAGTTGATTTACCCGAACTTTCATTTTTTAAACTTTCCTTTGTAAAGCAAAACTTTCATGAACTAACGTTAAATTAAAGTGTAAGATAACGGCACGATTCGACATGTTGATTCATGATTCATGAAGCAAATATTACACAAATTAGCCCAAAGTCAGAAAGATTACAGAGTGGATTTATAAAACAACCCCAATTTTAAAAACTCTATAACTTAACCCTAATCACTCGATCGGATGCGTTTTGTTGAAGCGAGTGGGAAATTGCGGTTTGTTCACATTCTGCATAGCAACGGCAAGGGGAATAACTGCTCATGCGCAATCGCGTGATTCTGGGGACCGGCATACTAGAAACTTCCCAAAATGTCAAGTATAAAATCAAGTATTGGTATCTTACGCGTATTTCTGAACAAGTTTTTTTTTTTCCGAGAGGAATGCGCCCCATGTTTAAAATTGATATTTATGAATGCCGTTCGGTCAGCTGGCGCATACAGAAACAAGTTACCTAACATAATTACCCGTTATTAAAACATCACATTAAAACATCACATTGCAAGGATTTAATCTATCATAAAAATGTTACTGAAAATTATATAGTAATACACAGAAAATAAATCTGTTAAATTAGTCTAAAATACATTATTCATACATGGTAAATATGGTAACCTAGACATACATGTATTTTTAAAAGCCTAGTAGCTCAAAATCAAACCTTTTAAAAATTCAGATTTGAGAAATGTATTCGCGTTAGTCTTAGCTTTCCACATTTGCATGTCTGTTTTATATCATTGTTTAACAGAAGCATCATACAATATACGGTATAACCATGATATGCCTTTTTACTAATAACTTTCTTTTTCAACATATGACAAGGCGTCAAACTGTTCTCTTGACGTCACAATGTGCAGAAAACGACGTCAAAGTTGCGGTAAAGAGACTTATAATTTTTCGTACACACCATTGCAAATGAGAAATTTTTAAGTACTTAAAATCACTTTGTAAGAAATGTAATGCAGAAAATTTAAATAAATAGCATTATTACTAATTCGTACATAGACATGCTCATTATCAACGCAACTGTCGGGTAGAGCGATTAATGTTGATCAATGGCTACAAAGCTACAGATGTTCATTGTTAAAAGTTGCTGTTTTAACCTGTAGTTTGTTATGCAATCAAAACTAAATCAAAACAAGATGTGTTTGTGAAACACTATGCGCCCGGCGGCAACAAATTTTTAAAACAACATATCTTTAGCATAAAGGTCACAGTGAAGGTCACAAGGTCATTGATCTTGATGTGATTTGAAAGATCTTGATTAGTGAAGCATTACCAAATATGAAGTCTCTATCTTTTATGGTTCAAAACTTATGATGAATGTTCAAAAAAGATATTTTTAGCATATAAGACACGTCAAGGTCACAATGTCATTGACCATGGTGTCATGTGAAAGGGCTTCATTAGTGGAGTATGCATGCCATATATTAAGTCTCTATCTTTTATGGTTCAAAAGTTATGGTGAATGTTCAAAAAGCTATTTTTAGCATATAAGACACAGTCAAGGTCACAAGGTCATTGACCTTGGTGTCATGTGAAAGGGCTTCATTAGTGGAGTATGCATGCCAAATATTAAGTCTCTATCTTTTATGGTTCAAAAGTTATGGTGAATGTTCAAAAAAGCTTTTTTTAGCATATAAGACACAGTCAAGGTCACAAGGTCATTGACTTTGGTGTCTTGTGATAGAGCTTCATTAGTGGAGTATGCATGCCAAATATTAAGTCTCTATCTTTTATGGTTCAAAAGTTATGGTGAATGTTCAAAAAAGCTATTTTTAGCATATAAGACACAGTCAAGGTCACAAGGTCATTGACCTTGGTGTCATATGAAAGGTCTTTATTAGTGGAGTATGCATACTGAATATTAAGTCTCTATCTTTTATGGTTCAAAAGTTATAGCAAAGGTTAAAGTTTGCAATAAAACCTCTATTTTTAGCATATAGGTCACAGTCAAGGTCACAAGGTCATTGACCTTGGTGTCATTTGAAAGAGCTTCATTAGTGGAGTAGGCATACCAAATATAAACTCTCTATCATTCATGGTTCAAAAGTTATGGCGAAGGTTAAAGTTTGCAGACAAACAGACAAACAGACAAACAGACAGACAGACAGACAGGACAAAAACAATATACGCCTCGGATCTTTCGATCCCGGCGCATAAAAATTATATATTTTGATTTTCAAAGAAGTGAAGTTTTGACTTCCACACCGGCCAAATATCATCTACACATATATAATGGTTGCAATATACCATTAATGTAAACAAAAAAGTATGGAACGCTGTTTGTATTCACAATATACATGTATGTGAAATTCCTAAATGTGAATGTGTTTACTTTCATTTTATTTGTAAACACCTGATAGATATTTATACCCCAGTA